TTTTTAGCATTTTATGCAAAACCCACTTTTTACATTTCAATATTTAATTTTTATGGATGCTGTCGTTTGATAAATGTCACCTAGTTTTCCACACAAGTAATTAAAAAGAAAAAAGGGAAAAATTATGCAAATTCAGTAGGTAGGTAGAACTCGTAACAAAATAAAACTTAAAATCTCGTTACTTATGATCATATATTATTATGATTATAGATTATAATATGCAAAATTTATATGAGCCGTTGTCTTTTGGAAGGCCCTGGCTGAGGTTCTTCGATAACGATGAGTCCTGGTTCTGCTTGTTCTGGAAAATAAAAGTTTAAAGTTAAGTCATTTATCAAGAAGAGATGAAGATTGCAAAATAGATTGTGAGATTAAACATACCTTCCGCATCGTAGTGAGGTTCTTCGATGGCATCGGGTCCTGGCTCAGGGTCTGATTGCTCCATCGTCCTCGTCGGGAGTCGTTCTCCTGGAAAATAAAAAGAGGAGAGACACATATCATATATCAAGGAGAGATGAATGACTACAAAATAACTTGTCAGATCCAACATACCTCTCCCTCTTTCTTCAGTTTCTTCTACGTCTATGTCAGAGCTGTCTTCTGGGGGTTCAACATTGTTACACAGTCCTTCGCATGATGCGCATATTGGGGAACAATGGAGTCCCGCCTTCCTGCATCCACAATTGCGTTGACAGCCCTTTTTACATTTACATGAAATGTACCGGAGTATTGAGTTTGATGCAGGGTCCAAAGTAGTTCGTACTGGCACAAGACCACTACTAGTTTTTTGCCATCCCCACTCACTTGGGTCTTTTTGTTGCTCGTTAGGTGTGGCTTGACCGGATAACCACTGCTGCACCTGATAGTAAACTCTCAGTCAATGTTCTCGTGCAGCAGCTTCAGTTGGGGGCAATGAGGAAATGTTGGTCTTATTTTTGAATGATGAAGATACGTATTGTTTATATCTTAAATCGTTTAGTTTTGTCTCTTTTTTTTCCATATAGAGCCGTGAGAAACATGTTTCCTCCTATGGCAATCTCATCTTGACTTGAATTAGGGTATTTGAAAGATTCAATTAGCGATTGCAAATCTTTGTTCTTCTGCAGGACTTTAAGAAATTTCAGTTTCCTTTGATTAAACAATGCAGAAGTAGTATCAGAACCACTCATCGCATGCAGGAATAAAATATGATCCAATAGGATTTTCTCAGCAGCCAGATGAGGGTTGTAGAGGCTTTGCGAAACCTTTCCTTTTCCTGGCTTCAAAAAAAAAAATACATTTTTTATATCAGGGCTACAAACGCCAATCAAAATGACCAGTAGGTCTATATCTTCTCCCACCACTGTCACATGTTCATTTGACGGGCCATCTCAAGAGCTGTTGAGATAATTAGGATATCAGCATCTTCCACAGCTTGCTTTGAATGGATTTTTGCATCATGAAGTTTCTCCATTAACATAGATATAAACCGGCGCTTGTTTTTTGGGTTTGCAAGAAAACTATCCTGCGACACAGTGGGCACCATCATTTCTGTTAATGATATTGCAGCAGATTGTTTTCTTTGTGCTCTTCTCAATCGTTCTAAACGCTTGGTGCTACCACAAGCCTCGTCAGGGTAGCCATCAAAAACGACAATAGCACTTGATTTGTAGTTTGATTTGTCATATGATACATAACTGCTGCATATGTCTGACCTTGGCGCCATTTTACCCGGTGTAACAAAAAACCCCCGTCGATGACATATTTTGTATCGTTAAACTCAGTCTGTTCAGTAGGTGTACAGAACTGTAAGTACTTTAATTTCTGTAAACAGACCATTTACTAAAAGTTAACAGTTTTCGAGTTTTAAGCAAAAAAACGGAAAAAGCAAAAAAAAAACGATTTCTTCTGGTTTTTTAAATGTTGCGTCACGAAATTTTGTCCGCAAACCTCAGATTCAGATTTAGCACCCCAAAACATATATGGAATGAAAAAATCAGAACTTCCCCAAAACTTTCCTACTAGTATCACTTTACAGTACAAATTTACTGAATTATTCAGTTATCCAACTACCGAGATATCTGAACTTGGGGACCTTTTGCATGTTCTTGTTGTTTACTCTTATATTCAATTGCATATTTCGTGTTCTACTAACCACCATTACCTTCGTCTTGTCTATATTAATCTTCAAGCCCACTCGTTCTCCTTCAGTGTTTATTCTATCTATTAGTCGTTGTAGCGCTTATTGGCTATCAGCTTTTATGACTGTATCATCAGCATAGCGAAGATTACTAATAGGCTGTCCGTTGATTTTGATTCCATCTTCAGTGTTTGTTACTTAAGGCTCTATCGAAAATCGTTTCAGAGTAAAGATTAAAAAGAAGGAGTGACAGAACAACCCTGTCGTACACCTTTTTCGATTGAGAAACATGATGTAGATTCCAGTCCTGCTCTCATAGATGCCACTTGATTCATATAAACGTTGTTTATGATTTTGAGGTCATTCTCATCTATCGAACGTTCCTGGAGCAATCTTATTAATTCTGAATGATTAACACAATCGAATGCTTTCTGGTAATCTATAAAGTATAGGAAGACATCTTTTTGCTGATCTTTGCATTTCTGAAGTAGGACAGTTAAGCTATAAAATGCTTCTCTTGTGCCAAATCCTTGTCTGAAACCGAACTGTGTGGGGCTAATGTCTCTTTCACATCTGTTGTATATTCTTGTGTGAATTATCTTTAAGAAGAGTTTTAGGACCTGCCTCAATAAGCTGATCATTCGGAATTGGTCGCAGCTTTTTTGGATTGGTATAAAAGTTGATTGAAGCCAGTCCTGTGGTATTTGACCGGACCCATAAATGTCATTAAAAAGATCTACCAAGGTGTCTAAATTGTCTTCACTCAACATTGTTAGAACCTCTATGTATATGTCGTCTGAGCCTGGTGCTTTTTCCCATTTGCTCTGTTTGATTGCTATTACAACTTCTGACTTCAATATTTTGGGGGAGGGTTAACTTTTATACTCACTTTCAGAGTTTCTTCTAGTTGTGTCTGCGTATAGTTACTGTCTGTAGTTTCTCCAATGTTGAAGTAGATCTTTGGGATCAGTAGTTAATTTATTGTCCTTCACAATACTGTTAAAACTGCAAGGTTTTGTAAGACCTGTCACTTCTTTAATAAGTTTATGTATGTTAAAGTGGTCATGTTTTTCTTCCAATTTCTCCATTTCTGCACACCTGTCTAGCAGCAACTGTTTTTTAGCTTTGCGACACTCTTTTTGTATTTGTCAGTTGATCTGCTGATGTTTGGTTCGGTCTTTGTTTTTAAATGATCTGCGGTCGTCCATCATTGATAATATTTCGTCAGTCATCCAATTCTTCTTTTTGTACTTTTGGGGAGCGATCACAGACTTGGTGGTGGTTACGATAGCTGTTTTAATACAATTCCATTTGTCTTCTATACTGGCCGGTTGTTTAGATCTTGTCGTGATATCCGCTATTGCCTCATTTAATCTTTCACTACAGGCTTGAAACTCCCTACTGCACGTGGCCCACGCTTCGTTTTACTACATGCAGGAAGTAAAGACGGTTTTATTAATGGAGCCGAACTAACTTTTTTAGCAAAGAAAAATATAGCAGACTACCATGACGAAATGGATGACCTCTTTTTGAAAATTGGTTTAAAACCAAACTTCTTTCAAATATTCCCGATAAAACTGTAATAGTAATGGACAATGCGTCGTATCACTCCTAGAAGTTGAAGAATTCCGAACAATTCTGACAATAAGGAAGAAATAAAGGAGTGGTTGCGTTCAAAGGGTATTTATTTCGAAGCAGATTATGTAGCAGAGTGTATCGTAGATGAAATTGCAAAAAGTAACTATGTTACCTCCATATCACTGTGAACTAAATCCGATAGAGCTGGTATGGAGTGAAATAAAAAGATTCTTTGCAAGACATAACACAAATTTTAAGAAGGAACAAGTAGAAAATCTAATACATGAAGCGTACTTTCAAGTTACTCCACAAAAATGGAATAATGACGTCCAAAACGTAATTAGCATAGAAAAACAGATGTGGAATATCGATAATTTACTGGACATTATCGACCTAGTTATAATAGAAATTAATGATGACAGTGTATCGGATAAAATTTGGCATCACTTTTGGCGATGTCCTGTACTGTAAAGTCAATGTGAGAATGACTATAGAAGCCAGTAAGCCAACATTGTTATATTCATATTTTTGTTTTGTTCGCCACAACTATCAGCGAACAAATGTACTGTGTCTATGCTGACATCCAAATAAAAATTCCTTAGCGTATGTTACAAAGTTGATACTATCATATTAGAATCTTTTAGAGAGTAAATTTCTGTCCACGAGTAAAAAAACACATATCTCGGTATTAGTTTATCTGTAGAAGTTCCAGTAACAACTGTAAAATTATTATTATAATTTATTTGCTGGTTGAAATATGATGCTTGATCAGGCAGTCTAGGCAGTGCCAAGTTTTTTTGGCAGTCGATTGAAAAGTAAGTGAGTTTTATTGATTAGAATATACTTCCCTGATAATTTGGCCTAAACTTTTGTGAGACTCATTCTAGCAAATAGTTCTTTCTCATAGCGCCTAAAAATTACGCGACCGTCCCAATATTGCCATGAAACACTCACATACATGGAACAAGTGGGGCACAATACCTAAACTTTTTGAATATAATCTACTGTTAAAACAAAAAATGCCTAAATGGGGAACGTCTTAGATTAGGCCAAAAACGATAACGGTTTGTTCATGATTACTGTTTAGGTAATGATGAAGGTGACTATGATTAATTGCTATTTCTGCAGAATCATTTAAAATTCGCTTTCGATAATGAACTTCATCGTTTAAACATTTCGATTAAGTGATAAAATTAGTAATTTGCAAAATTAGTCTTAATACGTAATTTATATAGGAATATGTCTCAAATAATTATTTTTTATATCTCGTACAAGTATTCACTAACGTTTGATTTCTTTTTAGGTAAACCTACAAGAACATTACGGTTTAATAAAATACAATACCAAGATTCTTACACCACAATCAGTATGCGACTATATAGACGAAATGGGCTTCGAAGCATCACTTCCACTTTTGGAAAAACAACAAAAAGAGGATAAACATTCTTGTATTGTGGAAATCAAGGGTATGACATGTAATTCATGCGTACAAAGTATAGAAGGTATGACTTAATTTAAAATAATATATGTAATTCGAGCTTCTCTTCATTTACTTTACTTAAATAGTATAGTAACCGGCAAAAAGGCTCTATTCTGAAATATTTCACACATACTTCTAAATACCGTGGATATTTTATATTTATTTGGCAATTTGATATAATACTTGATTTGCCTTTTATTAGTTTTGAAATGTATGATATCTAATAGCTTCTATGTATCCACTGTTCATTTTCCAAGAATTCATCATGCTTTTTCGTCCCAATTCTAGGAATTCCTCCACCTATTTCCTACCTATATGTGTTCAGGACATTGTTTTTTGTTATATACATAGTTCTCCTCTATTTGTGGTATCGAGTAATTTTGTGAGGACAGTTGCGCTAATTGATAGCTTTGTCATTATGTAAATTTTATAATTAGTATTTTAATATGCAAAAAAACGCAACGGAGAAATTTTTGGTCCCATTTTGACGATTTGTAGAATAATTTCATTTGCGAATTTTCGCAAACCCTTATTTTTAGGTTGCAACCTTATTGCCTTGGTTTATTTTTTAGAGCCAAATGAATTTGCCACCCACAATTTAGGCCTTTTTTAATTATGATTATTTTAGAGTTATTTTGTAAGACGACGAGGTGGCTTTGGTGACTGTTGTCTTTGTCCGAGATAATAAAATCTATTTCGTTTTTTCATTAGGACTTTGCCATGCCCATCTGCTCTGTGGTTTCTTTTTGAAAAAACTGTTCATTTTGAATAGTTCGTTGCAGCGTGAACCTTAACAGTATTTCGCCACGTTCATTTATACCATCCAAGCCAAAGTTTCCCAGTGGTGTTTCTGTAGGGTTGGATTTCATTCCTTTCTTGGCGTTAAAATCACCACATATAAAAGTAAAATGTCCTTAATGGTCTTTAAGAGCATCTTCGATATCATCGATAAGATTTACTTCATGACAGCGTAAACTCCCGAAGAGGGTTACTTAGCCGGAAACGTAGTCGTTAAACGTACTTTAGGTAGCAGCTTTTAGTTGAATATGCTTAAAATTTTAACATCCTACTAAATTATCAGCAACCATGTAATCTAATACCAATTAAGTAACATTTAAAGGATTTTCACTTATAAATTTAGTCGCTTTTAACATGTATACCTAGTAGCAGCACTGAAGATGGAATATTTATTCTGAAAATGTTCTGTGATTGATCCCGAGATTGTTTTTTTTTTTAATAAATATACCTTTTATAAAGGTTTTTTTGTGATTACCAACAAATACAAATTGTGATTAATTCCCATTAAATATAGTAGATTCCAACTTGTTTTTAATTATTTTGTTGTATAATCTACTAATTTTGTATCTTTAGACCCCTAATTAGAATTATAATCTTTGTTCCCCTTATTTTTTATATATGTATATACCATTGGGCGTTTTCCGTTGATTCAATTGCTGTTTTACCAAAGTTGGGTACCTACTAGTCATGTGCTCAACTTCCTGACTAAGTTGACCAGGTCTTTCTGTAGGAGTTGCCTTCCTGAATCTATATTTTGCATCTTTACTAAACGTTTTTCTGAAGGCATCTACATGTTTTAGGAATGCTATCAACAAAGGAAGGTATACAAAAAATTCAAGTAGATTTGCACAAAGGAGAGGGCTATGTAGAATTCCAGCCTCGTAAAGCAACACCTGAACAAATAGCAGAAATGATAGAAGACATGGGCTTTGAAGCGTACATCAAGTCTATTAATGATAAGAGTGTGGAGAAAAATATAATAACCAGTCCGAAATCTAGTAAAGCGTCCACTAGTCGTGGGGGCGACGAATTATCCAAGTCTAATTTGTCGAGGTGTTATTTGCAAGTAAAAGGAATGACGTGTGCTTCGTGTGTAGCTGCTATTGAAAAACATGTTTTAAAGATACCCGGTAAGTTCTTTTAATTATAATGCTAATACCCGGTAATATAATCGTTCTGGCCAGTCTTTTCACCAACGCTATCATTAAAATTATAGGAATTAAATCAATATGTATAAATCAAACTTATGTCATCGAGAAATAGATACACAAAAACTCTTTTATTTTGACATTGTTAAAACTTGAAATTACTAGTACCAGACGCAACACACATATTGCTGTATTTGTTAATTGTATTCTATTGTGGACGAATAAATGACTTAATTTAATGTTTTTCGGTTCTTTGAGGCATGATAATCGTTCACATTATACATCTATTTATTGTGCTGATATTGATGCAATCAATTTGTATGAAAGTTTTCGGCAGCTTCTTCAGTGAACAAAAATAATTTCCCTATTTACATTTACAGGTGTTGACAAAATTGTGATATCATTACTCGGCGCTCGAGCTGATATCAAATACAATCCCACAGAGGTGAGTCCGCCAGATATAGCTACTTCCATAACAGACCTGGGCTTCCCTTCCACAGTTATACAACAGTCCGATTTAGACGAAGCTGAAGTTGACATAGAAATCACTGGGATGACGTGTGCTAGTTGTGTTCATAAAATTGAAACGAATGTAATGAAACTTCCAGGTTTAAACAGTGCCAAAGTTGCTTTGCCAACGAAAAGAGGAAAGTTCAGGTATAATCCTGAAATAACCGGACCCAGGTAAGTTTTATTACCTAGAATAAAAACACGAAACTGTATATTTTATTCTCAATTCTTTCCATATGTTTTTGAATTATTTCTCCATGCAAACAGACTTGAGTCTTGTTCTCAAACCATTTTTTAAGGATTTTTAGTTATTTTTTATTATCTTCAATATTAATTAACCATAATTTCAGTTTAAAATATGTTTCTTCTAATATTTCGATAACAATTTATTTAATTTGTTTAATTACTGTATTTATCATTTGTATTTAAATGGTCTCATATTTTTTTCCAAAAATAGCAGACACTACTACACTGAACACTAACCAATGCATTACCCAGTGGCAGTAATGCATTGGTTAATGATCGGTGAAAGGATGTCGAAACCTCAGCACAATTATAATCGACGGAGTTTAACCCGGACCTGGACCGTTTTATTAGAGTAACATTTGTCATAAATCTAAATTTGTATTCTTTTTAGAAACATAATAGAAGCTATTAAAACATTGGGATTCGAAGCTCAACTATTTTTGAGGGAGAACGCCAACGGTGATTATTTACAACATAAAGAGGAGATCAGAAAATGGAAGAGGAGTTTCCTGTTTTCCTTAGCATTCGGTGCACCTTGTATGGTTGCCATGATGTACTTCATGATTAAAATGTCCTTCGGAACGATGCCGCACGACGAAATGTGCTGTGTAGTGCCAGGTATGAACTCATTTTATTTAATGACACCAATACATTTTATGTAACACCAACAATTTCCGAGTGACGGCACTTGGAGATTCTTTTTTCGGGTTCAGATTGTACTTAATGCTTGCAACAAAAAAAAAATGGTTGGCAATAACACGGGAACAAAATTTTGCAGATCTGCTAACAGATGGCGCCAGTGTTAAATATATTGATTAATTACTTTATATTTTAAATCTGACATAAATAAACAGTACAGGGTTGATTTCTAGGGCCAAAATATATTTCATATAAGTTTTTACTTGTTCTAAATATGTGGCTAAAGTTTCCAAACCAATGCCAAAATACAAAAGTTTTTACTTGTATACAGGGTGGTGAATCGTCAAACGGACCATAGGAAACTCAATGGAAAATTCTAAATTGTTAAATTCCTGCTTCCCTAATTATTTTACACCAAAAGTCATGGGAAACTATTTGTAGAGGACTCAAATATGTATCGAAAACAACTGTTAAAATTATTCTACGACTTAAACGTATTCCAAAATTTTGCTAAAATATAATACATTTTTCTGTGAAAAAATGTGTATTACGTGTTGCGTTTTGTCATATTATTGTTTCTGATATTTGACAATATTTAAATCAATTATATTATACTTATCTATAACTTAAATGGCCAAAATTTTGTGATTTATTGTTAAAAAAAATTAAGTTGATTAAAAAATGTACTCAGTTGAGGAGAAAAAAGCAATAATAAAAATGTTTTATTCATGTTTTATTATTACATTTGTTATAGATTTATGTTTAGAAATTATCATATATTATTATTAGGAATAAAGATCACAGTAACAGTATATTGGAATTCATTGAATTGTTGTATAACTTAACTTAACATGGAATTAAATTTTAGTGAATTAGAATATCTTACGTTAAATAAAGATCCGGTAGTGGCAGGAAAAGGTTCGCTATTGCCTGAATACAACATTATGTGATTTTTCGTCAACTGAGTACATTTCATTATATTGATCGTTTTATTGTTCACAAAGTAATAATGTTCATTAGTAGTAGTATTTAGTAAAATTCATTGTTTATAATTTATTCATAATATAAAAAAAATTGACAATTCAAATTGTCAAATATCTGACATCAATATGATAAAACACACACGTTCTAATATATATTCTTGCATTACGTGTGGCCTAACTTTTAGGGGTGGCCTAAAAAATGTATTATATTTTTGCAAAATTTTGAAGTACATTTGATTCGTAGAACGGTTTTAAACATTTGTTTTTAATTCAGATTTTAGTCCTCTACAAATAGTTTTTTATGACTTTTGATCCAAAATAATTAGGGAAGCAGCAATTCAACAATTTAAAATTTCTCATTGAGTTTCCTATGGCCCGTTTGACGATTCACCACCCGGTACATTTATGTCAAGTTTAGTTGAAATCAAAGATTTCCGAACTTTTAGTTCAGAAGATAGTTTATATCTTGCAGCCAATGAACCCCCACTTTTAATTAGACATCAACATCTACTGCTGAACCATGCTGCTAGAATATCATATACTGCTAATAACTTAGTCTACCACCTTTCCAATAATCCCCAAGAAGGCTCTCCTACTTCCGCCAATATACTCTCCATTCAGCAACTGCTCTCATCTCTCTTGATTACGTAAATTTGCCGGCTACATCCCCTAAGGAAGTCTCACGTAATCCCCTAAGGAAGTCATATATCAAAGAATTTTATTATTTTCCACTGTTATACATCTAATCTGATTAAAACCTACGGTTTTTCGACCATTATACATCAAATCTAATGTCCATAGTTTTCCTTGCTCTGTGTGTCTACTATATATACTTGGCTTTCTCCTCACTTGTGTCAGGTTCATCATATAAATTTCTATACTTGTACTTTAGCTTTTGCTATTGATACATTCGTTTTCTTTTTGGCAACCCTGTAATTTTGAAGATGTGTTTTACATATTTTGCTTTTGCCATTCTTTATCACATTTCTCTGTTTTTCTTTCTAATACATTCGTCGGTATATAACTTTAAACTATTGAATAGTTTTAAATATCTCTCCTATGGCACTACAGCCCAAGTCCGGCCCTGGCCTCCCCCAGCACCCCTTTCTCTCCTCCAGTTATCCACCCTCAGTATCTCTTTAGCATTAATTCTCACTTCGTCGATCCACCTCTTCATTGGTCTTCCTACTAGTAGACGTCCCGCCATAGTTTCGCTAAGCGTTCTACTAGGTGTTCCTACCCGCTACCCGAAGCTTTTGAATAATCTCGTATATATTGGGTTATTTATAACATTTTAATGAATATACTGTTATTGTAATAATTATTTTAAATTTTAACTCTTATTTTCAGGTCTCTCTATGGAAAACCTCATCCTCTGGACCCTCTCCACCCCTGTTCTAATATTCGGAGGCAGACATTTCTTCATACAAGCTTACAAAGCTCTGAAACACAAAACGGCGAACATGGACGTACTTATTGCGATGGCGACTTCGATTTCTTATGCTTACAGCGTTTGCGTGGTGATAGCAGCTATGATATTACAACAACACAGTTCTCCACAAACGTTTTTCGATACTCCTCCTATGCTGCTGGTTTTTATCAGTCTCGGACGTTGGTTGGAACATATAGCTAAAGGAAAAACGTCCGAAGCATTAAGTCGGTAAGAAGCTTTTGTTACAAAATGTCAGTTCTAAAAGGAGCGACGAATAAGAAGTCTTCCAATATAGAACTGCTCAATGCGTAAATTCCTTATCAAAATTGCTCTGGCTATCATAGTTTTTGATAGTTTCTTGGAACCAACTCTCCAACCTTATAATTTTCTCCCAAAATACTTTTAATATTAAATCCGAATCCGTCATAAGTTTTTACGTATTTGTTGCAGTTTTGGCTTTATGAATCCTTAGTCGGACACAAACAAATTAATCACGATTTTTATTTCGTTTCAGTATACATTCTAAAAAAAACTTATTCTTTTAGGTTGTTGTCTTTAAAAGCTACAGAAGCTGTGATAATTACTTTAGGACAAAAGGGAGAAATTTTGACAGAAGAACAAGTAAATGTGGATCTGGTACAAAGAGGAGACATTTTGAAAGTGGTACCAGGTTCAAAAGTTCCTGTAGATGGAAAAGTGTTACAGGTAAGAGATTTTCTTTTTTAATAAACCATTTACAGAGAATTGTCAATATAACAGTATTCTTTTGCATAAACAAGAAACCTGAACTATCACAACTTAAATTACAGAGCAGTATAAAGCTCCAAGAGACACTGGTTCAACGGATTGGACTCATAGACCAAAAATCTTTTTTTACCAAATGTTTAATGCTTTTTTTTTCTTATAGGGCCAATCGATGTGTGACGAGAGTCTTATTACAGGCGAAAGCATGCCCGTTCCCAAAAAAATCGGCAGTACTGTTATAGGCGGCTCAATAAATCAACATGGTCTTCTCATAGTCGAAGCAACGCACACTGGCGAAGCCACAACTTTATCCCAAATAGTTAAACTAGTAGAAGAAGCTCAAACCTCCAAGGCTCCCATTCAACAGTTGGCAGATAAGATAGCTGGTTATTTTGTTCCTACTGTAGTACTTTTAGCAGTTTTGACGCTGATAATTTGGTCGATAGTGGGTGCTATCGATATCAACTACCTACCTCTGAGTGACATGGAGAAAAAAGGATTTAATAACACGGAAATTATTTTGCAATTCGTTTTTAGATGTGCTCTAAGCGTATTAGCTATTGCGTGTCCTTGTGCCCTTGGATTGGCCACACCCACTGCTGTTATGGTTGGCACAGGTAAGTTTATGAAACGAGATTCATAAAGACAATAAGTGGTGGCTCTCAAAATAAAAATTGTCTTCCTACTGTTTTAATTTATACTTGCTTACTAATTATCAAAATAAGCAAGAAACCCGAAGTTCACGTTCGCAGTAAGAATACTCAGTAGATGATGAAAACCTAATTCTCTGTTAATACTCCACATCGTTACTCCTTTCTATGTTCTTCTTCTTTTGGTGCCTATCATCTGTAGATGTTGGCAATCATGTTGGTCCATACAACTTTGTTGACAGCTGTTCTAAATAAATGTATGGTAGTCATTCCTGCCCACTGTCTGATGTTCTTCAACCACGATGTCCTTCTGCGCCCTTGAGATCTTTTGCCTTCTATCTTGCCTGGCAAAGCTGGTTGAATTAGTTGATACTTCTCATTGCACATCACATGCCCTAATTATGTCATCTTTCTGATTTTCACGGTACGCATAAAACCCAGATCTTTATTCATACGTTGGATCACGGTGTTGTTTGTAACATGGATGGATATAGGAAATTCTGAGCATGCGGCGGTAGCACCACATTTCGAAGGCTTCTAATCGTTTGGATGTTACCTCCGTCAAGGTCCAAGCTTCGACTCCACACAAAAGGGTAGAAAATACATATCATCTTAAGACTCATATTCTTATCATATCATTCAATGTTCATGTGCATATGACATAAAATCTTCCTGAGGCGATTGAAGACAGCTCTCGCCTTTTCCCGTGAGTGGTCCTATTCCTTATTTAGGCTGCATCCAAGATATGTAATTTTGTCGACTACTTTCAAGGGTTCATTGAAATTCAAGCAATTTTGAAGTGGAGCCTTATCAACAATAAAAATACTTTCCAAACCAGGCAAAGCTAAAATGAAACTATGCATTCGATGAAGCAATTTATCTACACAAAAAGAACTGCGCATTAAGAAAGAAAATACACAATTTTTAAGTGTTTGCTGAAGAAAAAACCGGAACAAACTGTCGCATTTTATTGAATAAGCACGAGACAAAAATACTACGACTAGATTATTTACAAAGGATTAGAAGATATCGAGAAGAACGAATAATCATCTTCACCGATGAGACTTATTTATATGCCAGCTGCACGAGGGAATGTGACAAGCGATGAAGCTACAGAAGGACTTCGACAACCCCATTTAAGGCCAAATGCTTATAATAGTAACGACAATTACTTTGTGGAGAGAATTTATCTAAGGTAGAAATTGGGACTATCAGGATGACATGAATTTTGAAAATTATAAATAGTAGCTTGTACAGCTATTCGCGATTTATCACTTAATAAACTGGAAGGCGAAGCTCCCATTTTGAATAGTAAAAAAGTATAGATGTATTGATCTGACCAGAAATCTTTTCCTTTATTTGAGTTTTCGTGTTATGAGCTGGTGATCATGGAGTGAGTGTGTCCCAAATCTGTAACAACTTCTCTTCTGATATAATGTGGTGTAATACCAACGATAGGGTAATGCTAAGTGATGCAGGTAGATGCATTTATTAATTATTGTTGCAGATTGCTTATTATTGCTTGATAACTACGTTTGACTTTTAATTTCAAACAGTGCTTTTAAATAAGAAGAAGCGATCAAAAGTAACCTGAACATATTTAGGGGACATACAGTGTTAGAGGACTTCTCCACACTCTTAGAGTTTTTTCTGTATTTGGTTTAAGTTAGTTTAATTGGTAGTAGGTTGTTATTATTTTTAAGGCTATAGTTACTGTCAGCACTTTGACAAAATGTTCTGCTTGTGTAACAATAACTATGTACATAGATAAAAGTCCTAGTATCTGCTGGTATGGATTAGCTATTTGTGTAGATGTTGTGCAGTGTAGGTTAGGTGAGGTTAAGTGACACTGCCTTGAGAGTAAAATTCTTCTATGTTCTCCATCTACTATTGAGTACTTTGGGTGAGTTTACTGTCTCCTATGATATCATACAACTTTTGAAACGGCTTCCTGTTCCCTTAATGTTCCAGATACGTATCTTTCATATCCATCTTCAATCTGTTGGGTGAGATTCTTTTTATGTTAAGTTATTTTATTTTCTATTTTAGGGGTAGGCGCAATCAACGGAATCTTAATTAAAGGTGCAGAACCTTTGGAAAATGCTCATAAAGTCAAAGCAGTGATGTTCGACAAAACTGGTACAATAACAAAAGGCACACTGGAAGTAGCAAAAATCTGGATGCAGGGTGACAGTCTCAGTCCTTCCGTCATTCTAGCTGCTGTGGGATCTGCAGAAAGTAACTCGGAACATCCCATAGCTACAGCTATAGTTAAATATGTTAAAGACGTGTTAGGTAATGTTGAATTTGATGTATTTGTACTTATTTTTAATATTTTCCGAAAATTTATCTTTATTTTATACATATATAATTATTCCATTTACAAATGTTAACGTTTAATACAACTGGATAATAAATTGTTGTTTTATGTAGGTACTGAACAAGTTGGCAAATCCACAAACTTCCAGGCAGTACCCGGATGTGGTATGAAGTGTACCATTTCTCACCTTGCAGATGTACTTAAAAGCAAAGGAGGCAAAGACAATACTGAATTAATTAATTTTACTAATTTGGTCAATGCTGGTAGTTCCGGAGTGTTCACTGTTAAAGGAGTACAGGTATTACTTTTTTGTAGTTAATTTATTTTACATTGCTAACCACACTTACCATTGATAAACCAAATTTTTTTATAAAATATTTAAATGTCAAGTAAATGACAGATGACGTGTGACAGTTTAATGACTATTTGATAACTAAGCGATATTAATATACTTGGTTCGCTGATCACAGTCCCAACTGCCTAGTAAATTTAATGCAGTGTTTGCTACGTTGCGTTGCTTGGTTAAATATTGACGAATGGAAATTACTAAACAACCAAGCATACGCGTTCGTATCCATTATTTAAACAAAAAATATCCACATTCAGTTATTATTTATTAATTAATATTTACAAATGGAAATTTTTAATGAAAGTTAATGAATATACACTCCTATTATTTATGGTTATTCTTCTTTTTTCAATGAAAGGGGTTTTTAACAGTAAGTTTATTTGAACTATTAATAGTAAGAGGTAGGAATTTTTGTGTTATATGTTTCCGACAATGAATCTGTCAATATATTTCCAAGATGAGCGAACCGAGTATAGTTATGCACAAATATACGAGAGGCTAATCGCCACCTTGCATTCCATCTTTTCATTCGACGGTTTTGTCACGTGACCTATTAAGGTTATGTATAAATTGTTTAAAAAAATATATGAAAAATTGTATTTCGTTGAGTTATAGCAGGGTACATAGCCCCCCATTTTTTTATGTACTATGAGTTATAGAAACAGCAGGTCGCCAGTTAGATTCTGCAGAAAACGGTTTATTAAGGTGAGACCAATTGAGACATACAGTCGTGTATAATAGATATAAAATGAACAGATCAATAAAAGTACCAATAAGTAAAAATGTCACTAGCATCTATTTATTTTATTTAATAAATATGTATTAATAAACCAGCGTTTATTTTATTTTATACAAATGTCTTGTGTAGGTGGCTCAATATTAGAAAAACATTTCATACTGAAATTAAATTACTATAAGTCATCTAAGATAGCATAGGCTATTTTTTGGATGTCAAATGTACCATACTTTAATAGCAATAAATATTTAATTGTTTTATGTATGGTTTGTGCTCTCGTAACAAATATGACCAAATTTCAAATACATTGACAGGTGATGTGATAGTTAAGGCTGTTTTATCGGTACACCAAAACCTATATACAGTATTTTCTCTGTTATTTACCGACAAAATGTCTAGAAATTTGGACAAGTTATTCAAAATGATGTTGCCTTTAAACTGATGGTTTTACTTTTTTAATTTTTTTGAAAGTTCTTTTGAAATATCGAATTATGCAGTTTAACGTTCTATTATAACCAAACTTTTTACGCCCATCACTTGAAAGAGTTTTTTTTTTCTGTAATCGTTGACTTTTTTTTTTTCATTTTAATATGCCCAGTAATAATCGAGAAAAGCGTATTCAAACTTTGAAGAAAATTGCTAAAAAATACTCAAATCTAATAGTGAAACGTGTTACTCATCATTGGCATTTAATTTCACCGTTATCGGCTGCGTGACGTCAAATCTCATGAACGTAGTCAGTTAGTTTGATTTGAAATCATTTTCAAGCTATAACTACGAAATTGTTTATTTGTTTGTGACAACAAATTGTATTTTTTTTTTGATAATAATATTTTTATGATATTTTAAATTTATTATAAGTAAACACCATGTTGTTTTTTGCAGTCACGTTTCACAAATTTTTATTCAATACTATATTTAGCTAAGACATATAAATTAAAAATGTGATAATTATTTTAAAACATCTACCATAATCAAACAAAAAAGGTATTCCCGACAAAAGTAATTTGAATGGAGAATAATGCATTTGTTGTCATTAAACCACCCGCCGGCCGGCGCCACTGCGAAAACAGCTGTACCCGTCGTCGGCTGGCGTAAGCAGTGTAGAAAAGTAAGTGATACGCCCATTTCAAATCGCAGTGTGTTTTGACTGTTAAAACAGCCTTAAATGACATTACGCAACAGAATAAAATACAATTTTATCTAATTCTGTGATAAAACTAAATATTTGACAGTTGCATCACAGAATAATAAACAATCAGAATGCCCACTCTCAGATGCCGCCTTTGAAGTTTGTCAGCACGCGAACGTCATGTTTTAGACGGAAACGTAGACTCGAATTGAGAAATTTGTGACAACTTACGACAGGACTGTAATTTAAATTTTTAGAGATTAATAATTTAGTACATTTTAAATAATTTAATATCTATTGTTCAACTAAAAGTACGAATAAAATAGTGCATATTATATCTGAAGTTGCCGTAAGTAAATTAACCCGGGTTAATTTGTCTATGAACACCAGATAAAATGTCACTGAACAGTTGTGCGGATTGAACTGCACTGAACGGAACAATGGTTCCGTTTAAAACATGGCTGATTCCGTTTGCGCGAACGAGATGCACGTACTTCAAGCAGAGTGGGCATTCTGATTGTTTATTATTCTGTGGTTGAATTATATTATAGTGACTATGTTCATAAATTAACAGGGTCTGCATAGAATATTAATAATAAAAGTGCCTCTGTAAAAGTATTACTTAAAATTAATAATAATGGTCACTTAAAAACGATTTCTGCTGATTGTTTTTACTATGTTGGATGAAAAAGTACCTACTATTCCTTATTTTCAATTTTAAGAGCTTTATTACAATTTTTAATTTTTGCTTATTTAGATTGATGTAAGCCATTCACAGAACATAAAACTAGGCCAGTTGATTGGAGTGAGCTCCTCTCTCGAAAACGATGGAGGAGATTATGACGTGATTGTAGGAAATCGAGAATGGATGAATAGAAACGGTTTTATCATTGCTCCGGAGGTAGAAAGAAACATGACGGCAGAGGAAGAACAGGGAAGATCTGCTGTACTTTGTGCAATTAACGGTAAGTTTGATTAATGTTGTTTGATATCAGCTAATAGTTGAAATTTGTTCAACTGTAACTATTTATTCATGAGTTCGATCTTTGAACAGTATAAATATAACAATAAAACTTTTATATTATATATGTTGAAGTTCTTTGAAATTTTCTCGAAAACAATCTGTATGGAAGATTATTGACTTTGCATTTACAGCGATACGTAATGAATACACGTTCGAGTATCTACCCTAATTCAATTAATCCCTTAATTACAAGTTTTTTAATTCTGAATTATTTGCGTCACTAACAGGGTAACTGTATGTATTTTCATAGTAATCCAGAGCCGTCGAACGGATTTTTATAAATAAACCGGTTTTGCTATTTCTAGTTTCATATATGTAATTAAATTGAATAATAATTTAAATTTTAAAATTATTATTAGAAAAAAATCTACATTACAGATGTTGAAATTTTGGCAGTCTATTAATATTATTTTAAGATATATAACGTTTTAAACATAACATTTTTCATTTCAGGTAGCATAATAGCTATATTCAGTGTAGCTGACACTGTGAAACCGGAGGCTCATCTAGCGGTGTATACTTTGAAAAAAATGGGACTAGAAGTAATTCTTTTAACTGGAGATAATCGAAAAACTGCCGCTAGTATAGCAAGACAAGTAGGAATCACCAAAATATACGCCGAAGTACTTCCATCACATAAAGTTATACGAGTACAAAGGTAAGTAATAATTGAATAACATGCAAATATACTTAATTATAGCTCAATCTGCACATGGTTAGGGTTGGTTATAGTGAGTCAGTAGTTAAATTTTTGTAAAACATATCCAAAAGGTTTTTTTATAACGAGTGTTTGAATATGCTTCTGCTGGAAAAGTTATGGAACATTCAAGACAAATTTTAGAACGATTATGAAATTGTTTTTTTACAATCTTTTATCTTTAGTATCGCAAAAAGTATCCTCTTACCCCCTAAACATCGTTTAATTTACTTTGAAAATACGTTCGATGGAGTAGACTGCAGAAATTAATAGAAATAATAAAAGAACAAAAGTATAGGGTAGTCGAGATATATAGTCGGAAAAATGAAATAATACCCACGAACGATCACATCAATCACTTATTTTGTATTTGCTCTCTTTTTCTATATCAAATGTTTGTTATTTATATAAAAAGACGGCAAATTATACAAAATAAGGATTGATATGTTCATGGGTAATCATGGACGTTCATGGGTAATATTTTATTTTCCGGACTGTACGAATGATCGTCTAGCCTTATTAGAATCAGGAGGCCAACAATAAAGTGAAAAATCATAAGTTAGACAATATCCACCCAAAGAGATATGCAAAGTTGCGTTTTGTCACCGTTAATATTGTTTACAGCGATAGTACAGGCCGTATCTGTTTTGAAGTGTGAAGCATATAAACGCAGTTTTTTTGTATAAATTGCTCCAAAATATCACTACATATGAAAATTTCACTATGCATAAGTTGTAAAGAGACTTTTTGTTAAACAAAATATAAAAAAAATTCTATGTTTTTCATAATTTTTTTGCATACATCTCAAGAACTTAACAAACTTAACGAACTTTCGAACAATTTTGTACTGACATAAAAATTTTGTAATTGAATTTTGCATATGATAATGCTAATTTTAAACCTTAACAGTTGCTATTATTGAAAAAATACTAAAAAACACAAAAAAAGAGTTAAAAAGGGTTTTTTTCGAATGAATTTCCCATACTAAAATGAACCTTAGGACCTTTATATTCCGAGAAAGAAAACTTTTTTAATATGTTTAATTGTCACACAAAATTTCATTAAAATATATTCAATAGTTTTTGCAAAATAATTTTTCAATCTAAATTTAAAAAATGAATAATTTTCAAAATGATGCAGATAAAAAACTAAAACTTCTAGATAATTAAAAACAAATTTACATATAGAGGAGTATTGAAGCTTTTAAACCCATGTTGAAAAATGAAAGTCCTTCGATTAGAAGAGCCTAGGAATTAAAAAAAAAATTGCTTAAATTTTAGGCTTCTAAAAAATTTAAATAGCTGTATAAATTGTTTATCGATATTAATCATTGATATGATGATATGCCCACTATTCTGTAGTGGGTACACAAAAGCAGTTAATTTTTTTCATATTTTTATTTTACTGTTTTTAGGTTACAAGCCAAAGGTGTAAAGGTGTGTATGGTAGGAGATGGCATTAATGATTCTCCAGCTTTGGCACAAGCAGATGTCGGTATGGCCATTGCCACCGGTACTGATGTTGCTGTAGAAGCGGCTCATGTTGTACTTATGAGGAATGATCTCTTGGACGTCGTAGCCTGTTTGGAATTATCAAGGAAGACTGTCAATAGGATACGGCTAAACTTCTTCTTTGCCAGTGTTTATAATATTCTAGGTAAGTATCTTAAATGACCGTTCTAGCTTATAAATATTTTTAAATAAGTTTATTGTTCAAAAAAATTAATTGCTTCTAAGCGTCAGCTTATATCATCACTATGGTCGATGCCATTTTTATTGTTCTTAAATGGTCGTAACTCCCTAGATTTTCTAAATCAATTCTTTTCTTATTAATACTACGATGTCCATATTAGATGTTTGTAATTCAGATATAATCTTATTCAGTTTTAAGGAAATTGTACGTTCCACGTACTAATATTCATTATCCGTTTTTAAATTCCACCTTCAATCTGTGAAATTTTTTATATCAATATTTAACCTGTACAAATTTTATATCTTCAAGCATATTTTTAGGTATACCTTTAGCTGCCGGCGCCTTCAGCATGATCGGATTCATGCTGGCTCCATGGATGGCCTCCGCCGCTATGGCCTTAAGTTCCGTCTCCGTCGTAGGCTCTAGTTTGTTACTTAAAATGTGGACGAAATCGACAAAAGAAAAACTTGAAACTGCCGAATACTTAGCCACCAAAAACAACGACCATTTGGAAACGATTTCGATACACAGAGGATTGGACGATATCGATAATATTACTGAGAGTACATCTAAATTTTCAAGGTATAGCAAATAGAGAAATATGTGGTGGAGTGTGTATAATTAAGTTTAAAGTTCATATTGCAGTAGATTTCTGGAATTATTTTCAAAACTCAACGATTGCTTGCATTGCTATATGTATTGACTTCTAAGCTGTGGGTTCGGTTACCTTTATTTTTTATGTTTGATCTATATTTTATTTTTTTGATGGTATTTTCGGCACATTTGATTAGCTTATTCACTGTAATATATGCTTACATATCGGTCATTCCACATAAACCTTGACGTTGAGGAAAAGTCTTTCTGTGTAGCTATATTGATATTTTATTAAATGTTATTTCTAAATATTTCAGTTTCCTCATCTAATGAAAAAGTTAGGCTGAGGTAAATATATAGTTTTGAATTGCTGGCATATTTGCTTCACAAGATAGACATTCTTCTAAAAATATTGCTTATTTAGGTATTTACACATATTCAATACTTAAAAATTATTAATTAAAAAAATATTTTTTTACAATTTTGTTTATTAGTTATGGTTATTATGTATATTATTTTGGAAACAAAAGCTTAAAACACTTTATATTTATAGCAAATCTATAGTTCATCAAATTTATAGTTCGACTGATCGTGGCGGCCATAGAAGTTCAGTATCTCCAACAATCGAACGCTGAACAAAGTATTGATCTACAGTGTTCTACTAAAACACACACTACTAAAAGATAATGACGTGATGCTATATTCTGCATAAACCATATTTTTCTTACTTAATTGAGAATTTACCCCACTCGTTTAAAATTGCCGTTTATAGACTTGAGTTACCATTTAAATTCGCAGGCAGCTGAAAAGGGCCTAACAATTTGTCTCCATATTGTTCTGAAGCTATTTTCTTGTGGCATTTTAAATTAATTACTATTTAACTGGTATTATTACATTTACTTACTATTATTACATTTACTGTTTGTATTTTGAGAACGATTTCCGAAGTGGAAATTGAAACGTCAATAAACGTATTTTTATCTTTAATTGTGGCTTATTCCCAGTTAAATAGTAATTAATTTGTCTCCAGTTGTATAGTACTAAACATTCATTTCGAATTCATATTCCCCAATATAAATGGCGATTTCTGTATGACAAGACAGAGATTCTGTGATGTGTCCTAACTAAGGACGGGGGAGTTTTAACAAAGAGTTTAACCTTTCAGTAAAAATAGACCGAAAAAATTACAGGTATGTGATTTATGGTTTACAGTTTTGTAAATTCATAAGCAATAAAATATTTTACGACCGGCTATTCAAGGCTTTTAGTGAAAATGAATTTGCAAGTGTCGCTTCAAATCATTCGTCATCGATGCGACGAATTAGCGCCAGAAATATCCTTTTTGTATAAAAGATATGAAAAGGTCAACTTATATTGTTTTGTATAAAGACCTAAATTAACCCACGATCAGACTTTGGCTATTTAAATTTCCACAATATACAAAAAGAGTCTAAAATGCCGGTGTGAAGAAGATTCGAGGTAATAAAATTTGAGAGATTTATGTGGTAAAAAAAGTTTAAAAAGACATTTAACGAAATCTCGACCTTTTTGCTTTAAAGATACATCTACAAAGAAATAGCATAAAGGGAATTATAGTACAGAGGCATACTCTGTATTATATAAAAATATTAGTTTTATGATATGTAAGAAAGTGCATATTATGTTATGTTACAAGCTAGATCATGATTTTTTGAAATTATATATACAAATGGAATGGCCGATCTAAATTTTGTTTTGGCTATGAATATCTTTCGATTATCTGATATAAAAATGTGGTATTGTTCTTATATAAAAAACATATAATAAATACATTATGTTATCCAACTAATTTTTCTCGTAAAATGCGAATAACTTTTTGTATAATATTTATCTAATTTATTTAAATCTTTAAACGAACAATTGGTACATGTTTTTATTTATTTTTACATATTTAGTTTTGACTCTTTTTTCATTTTTTTCTCTCATTTTTTCTATCTCTCTATCTGATTTCGTATATCCATCTTGCTACGAAGTTTCCTCTTTTATTTCCCTATGCTCTTCCGTTGGAACACTTGTTCTGCAAGTATTTATTCTTACTTTCAATCATTTAATATATATTGGTTTACTTGGGCCAGAGAGTCATTCTGATCTAAATATATGCTGGCTGCACAACCAGATCCAACTTCACGCCGGCCAACAAATTAGGAATCTGCATTATCGACATGTATGAACAGCTGTTCGTAAATGTTCACGTTCTCAATTAGCTCAATTTTCAGAAGTTATGACGGTATAATCATATACCGAATTCTACCAGAACTTACACATCCATGTTTGTCTTCTCGTACAGCCAACTTATTTCCTGTCCGCAGCACTACAGCTTTTATATATGATATTATGAGGCTTATTTAAGTTTATTCCTAAAATTTTAACCTCTTCACGTTATATGCTTAATATCTGTTAAATACTTCTGATAAAAAACACAATTCTTCAAATTCTTTCCAAATATGTTCCTATTAATTATGCAACCAATAATACATTACAACCACCACTCACCGCTTCAACATTTCGAATTTTATCTATGGTAGGAAAGGTCTCAACCATCTAATTCAACACGTCTGCCTTAATATTTTTTGCTGTTGTGTATTTGGTCTTTATTATATTTGTAGTGTATGTAAATAATCTGACAGTTTTAATCAGATGTATAAGCTGCACCTTGTCGCAATTATCCTGCTAATCTGGTCGTTTTCAACGCGTTTTCCTTATTTCTTACTATAACAGATTACTATGTGCTTTTGCTCTATGTACAAAATTGGGCTCCATTTCTTTTTCTTTCTCAATTTTACATTTGTTTGTTCAAATTATGTCTATCTTGGCAGGAAATCATAATGGGATTGTATTCCTTTAGGTTTCTTTGTTGATTTTCACTTTACCATTGATTTTCTGAAGCTTTTCTTGTTTGATTTATCCATCATTACTCAGGTAAATTCATCTCTGCAGTTTTTGGAGTGTCTACTCATTAATAATAAAACTGTCTGGTTGATACCCTATTCAGTACTGCTAATTATTAATTGCATTTATACAATCTTACCAATTGTTTAGGTATTTCCTAATTATCTGGTATTTTCTTTGGATTACCAGAACTTTCTTCGAACTACTGCCTACATGGCGGCCTGAACGAGCCGCCGTGTTTTTCGTACAGGCAGATTTTACAATTTCTATCTGTTGTGTGATTTGCTAATTGAGGCACTTTTTTTATTATATGCATATTTCTTTTTTCAATAACTATATTTTCTTTCGATTTATTGTATTATATATTGATCGCCTGATGATGGTGGACTCGTTTTTGAGGCAATAAAAGCAGGAGGAGAAATTCTATTAAAATCAGTACGCGAACTGTTTAATAAATGCTTACATGCGGGTACGATTCCAAAAGACTGGAACAATGCAGTGATAGTCTTGTTGCACAAGTAAGATTTACTTTAGTAAAGGCGATATTACTAAATTAAAAAATTATAGACCCATCAGCATCTTGACACATATGTACAAACTCTTTATGAAAATCTTAACAAAGAGACTAACTCCAAAATTGATTTCTATCAGCCCAAAGAACAGGCAGGCTTCAGGGCAGGATATGGCACAAATGACCATTTGCATACCATAAAGATTTTAATAGCAAAGTTCATCGAGTACAACGAGGGTTGTACTATATACTAGAAGAGTACAATGAGGGCATCAAGATTAATGGCGTACCAATAAGTAATTTTCGATATGCAGATGATACTATTATACTGGCCGATAACATCGAAGATTTACAGATGATGCTACATAGAGTTAATACAACTGGCAGCCGATTTGGACTGAAGATCAATAGAAAGAAAACTAAATTTATGGTGATCAGTAAAAAAAAATTTCAGCATATCGACCTGCATATTGAAGACGAACGTATTGAAAGAGTACACCGATTTAAATATCTGGGATATACAGTAAATGACAAGTGGGACCCAGAAGTAGAGATTAAGATCCGAATTGAAATAGCAAGATCCAAATTCATCAAAACTAGAAAGCTCTTAAGCAACCGCAACCTAAGCATTAACCTCCGATGGCGCGCCACGAAATGCTACGTACTCTCTACGCTACTTTACGGCGTAGAAGGGTGGACGTTAACAGCAGCAACTATAAAGAAGTTAGCGGCTCTAGAAATGTGGCTGTATCGACGCATACTGAGAATACCTTGGACAGACAGAGTGACCAACACAGAGGTATTAAGACGAATGGGTAAAGAGGTGGAATTGTTAACCACTGTTAAAAGGAGGAAAGCGTCATACCTGGGTCATGTGTTCCGTAATGATAAGTACAGTCTGCTACAGCTTATCGTGGAAGGCAAGATTGAAGGTAGAAGAGGTTTGGGCAGAAAGAAGAAATCCTGGCTGAGAAACTTGAGAGAATGGTTTCAAATACCAGAAGCTGCGAACATAATTCATGCGGCACAAAACAGAGAAACCTATCGTATGATGGTCGCCAACCTTCGGTAGAAGACGGCACATAAAGAAGAAGATCGAGTACAACATACCACTGGTTCTTGCATTTGTCGATTATGAGGAAGCTTTTGATTCTGTAGAGTTTGAAACAGTACAGGAAGCCTTAAATCAAAGCCAAATAGATTACAGCTACATGACACTAATCAAAAACATCTACGAGAATGCTACATCAAGTATACGACTACACGAAGACATAGAAAAATGCAGCTTAGGTCGAGGAGTTAGACAAGGAGACAATATTTCACCAAAATTGTCCACGGCAGCTCTAGAGTCAATATTCAAGAACACTCAATGGCAACATATGGACATCAATATAGATGGAGCAAGATTAAATCATCTAAGGTTTGCAGATGATGTTGTATTAATCGCAGATAACTTGCATGATACAGTTTGTATAATATATTCGCTTAAAAGTCTGTCTGAAAGAGCAGGATTAAAGATAAACTTTGAGAAAACTAAACTTATGACAAA